GTAAAGTTAATCCAGACGATCCAGTAAGGAGAGGGGTTTGTAATAGCGATGGCCTCCAACCTACTAGCGGCTTGGCCTCCACCTAATAGCATGTGTTTTGTCACCGTACATGTTGTACTTCATTGGTTTCTGTGTCCCTTCTGTGTCATTGTCATTGTCTTCTTTGTCTCCATCTTTGAGGCTCCCCGCCTCAGCTGCAAAACGGATGAGGCAACTGTATGTAATTGCGGTGGTTTCTAGGCCATCCTCCACCAGCCTATCATAGACACCTGCCAGATTCACCGTTGCATGTTGCACGCCAGCTCAAGGATTGGAGGCCCCAACGAAGCGCCAGACGGAATTGTTTTTGGACTGCCAGCTGCTTCATGACCTCAAGCTGCTCCAGGAATTGTTCTTCTAATTTCCTGCACATCAAACAAAACCCCGGTCCTTGCTCTGCACAGGGTGCAATTTCTGCTAGACTGAGAGAGTCCAGTGCACATCTTGCGTCTTCAAGCTCAGATCTCCACACTTTCATAGAAGGCCAGGGAGCGAGGAACCTGTGTCGGCAACACTGACAGCTCTTGGTAGGCTACTGGAACACTGTTGCCTGGTTCTCAACCATGTCATCAATGATGGAATCCAGACTCTGGTGCTTCCCAGTCTAAGTCAGCGGAGATATCGCATGCGCAATACAAGGGAGCACATCCTTCTTGAAGATCATCTTGCCGAATCAAACCAGGCAAGTCATGTCGAGCCAAATGATGTGCAAATCAGTTCTTTGATTCTCAAGACAAGGTCGTGGCCCGAATCACCAGTTGTGCTAATCCAGTGTAGAGTTCGATTGCCGTGTGCCTGGAGAGGAAAGAAAACGGCCAGAACGGCTGGTTGCGGACCACTCAACTGAGGCCAGGAACCCTCTGGCCACTTCTTGCAAGGTCTTACCCCTAAGGCCAACGGCTGAAACCGCTGAAACGTCACGATGCTAAATGGTTTGGGCGATCCTAAATGGTTCATCACAAAACTCAATCCGTTGAGTTCCGGGCGATTTTTGCAACAAATGTCTCAGCTCTGCGTACAAGCCAAGAATCCTACATGCACCAACTATTTCGCGGCAAATCCAATGTACTATGTTGTAATTTGCTTCATCCTTGCAGGTCTAGCAGGACCCCCATGTTCTTGAAGGCATTGCATTACCTGTCCCGAAGTCAGATGGTAAAGACTGCAACATGTTTGCAGAGTATTCGTAGTAGTAGGTTCCAGCTGTAGTTGCTCAAAAACAAAACAGGAACTCTGTCCGAAGCTTTGGTCTCGGACCTCACGCAAAACATCGGCAGGCCTAAGGGCTGGTTTAACTTTTCCAGGCCTTCTTCTAGGGTTTTGGTGGTGCAAAGTCTGGATTCTGTGCTTTCAAAAGTCATATTATACATTTATATATATTATGTATTTATACATAAGACATGTGAAGCCTCGCCATACCAAAGAGGACCCGACTGCAAACCTGCTCCTGGCGGTGAGTTCTTCTCATCTCTTCGCCTGGAGGATTCACCAAGACTTTGGACGCCAATGTCCCAGTCGCAAAAATTTGCAAATTAGCTTCTAGCTACTAGTAGTAATGCCCTTCTAGTAGCGTCCTTGCTACTAGTAGTAAGGCCAGGAGCCCCTAGTAGCGTCCTTGCTCCTAGTAGCGATGCCCTTTGCTCCTAGTAGCTATTTGCTACTAGTAGTAATGCCCTTGTTCCTAGTAGCTATGCCCGTGTTACTAGTAGCTTCTAGCTACTAGTTCATAAACAGAGGCACTCATTCGCGGCCTGGACACTGGAGCTCGTGGCAAATCAACTGCCTCCACTGAGCACAGAAGTTGTTGGGTGGTCATGGTACTGGTGTTCATAATAGGTTTGATTTGTATAACATCATTCACATCGTTTGACTAGGCGGCATCTTTCCAATTACTTACCTGACCTGTCCCAAGTGTCAAGCAGCTCACTGAACGTTCCCCAAAGACCCACAGGTCTGCCACAACGGGTGCCTTGTTTTGTGGCGAGATGACCTTGCGGCCTGAAATGAGGAACTGAGCTTCAACTCCAGCTGCCAGCCACTGCTTCTATCTGAAAGACATCATTTCAATCGACACGTCACCACGTTGCATGCATCGTACTTGCCTGGGCCTGCTTTGGGGGAAAAGCCACGCACCAGGAAGGCACAGCAAAGGGTCACAACCTGGCTGCTGACAAAAACAGTGCAGCAAGGGATGGGAATGAACAATGCCACCCAGCTGCCAATTGGTACAAACAGTTCCCGGCTGCAGAATAGCTAAGTTGATGGACAATAGACCAAAACCGGTATGTCTGGTCTGTCACGTGAACCCTGCAATGCAAAGAGAATAGTCTCCCGAAATCCTACGAAAAGGATGATGGCGCATTGATTGCTTGGAGCCTTCAAATGTTGACACCCATCCACCCCCAACCCGATGAGGGCTACCAAAACCATGCCAACAAACTCTCACGGAAGCCGAAAGCCTGCAGCAATTTTGTTTCTCAACTTCCGTGTCATAGACACAGTTCTGAGCTCTGGTTTCCAGTTTTGAACTTACGGCGAACACTCAGAAAAGCGCTTGAACATTCTGTAACTAAGCAGAAATAAACCGCACACACAAGGCCCATAGACCGTCTAGCCATAGACCTAAACTCCGAAACCATTCGGGGGAGAGCATGCCAGGCAGGCGAAAATCACGACCTCGAGGCCAATGGACCTGTGCAAGAGTGAAGACTTGGAGTGTCGAATGACGGTCGAATGATGGTCGAATGACGGTGTCTTCTCGCCTTGATTTTAGTTTACCCTCCAAGGGACTGAAGGGTGTGGAATGCTTTTGTGCTTCACTGTCCTTCTTCCTGTGCAGGAATGCTTTTTTGTGTGTCTTCATTCATAGTTGAAGACTGTGACCCTCCTTGGTTTTGTATCCTACCCTTGTCCTGATTCTGCCTTTGACTGCACCACATGGGTTGTCCCGTCGTTTGTGATCAATTCTTTTGTTGATTCTGCATGAGCATACATGTTTGGGACTCTGCATAGCATCAGGGGTTAAAATTTGATCGAAGCTTGCATCTAGTTCAGGTCACGCAACTTCGGTATAGAGCATACATGCAAGTTTCTTTGGGTGATGCTCTCATGGTACTCGAATACTCGCAATGTTGCCCTTGAGTTTCCTTGTCTGTATTGGTTGTCGGGAGTACCGAGTGGGCACGATGCATCAAGTCAAAGCAGGTGTCTGCTTTGAAAGAATATTAAAGCATATTAAAGCAACTATATATGCTGTTTTGCACTAGGATCTTTAGCTGGAAGCATTGTCCGCCATTCCTGACTATTCCAAACCTGGTTGCCGATGCTGGAGCGTCAGAAGCGGGAATTATCTTGCATTCCATACAAACAATGAGGCTACGGTGTGGTTACTGACCCTTGGGCCCTTGGGTTTTCTAGGCTTTCAAAACATTGCAGGCATGAAACTTCTTCTGTGGACCATTGATGGGGTGTACTTTTTCAAAAGTTTCCAGTGCCTATCTAGGACTTGAGTGCCAGTGCACTTGGCTTGGCTTTTTTTTGGCCGAGAAATCTTCTTGACAAACTGCATGTCCCTATGCATCACATTGGCATGTTCAATGCCCAAATCTTTGCCACGTTGGACCTAGACTTTGCACAATCTGAATGTATGCACGCAGCACAAAATGCCGGATGTCTCAGCTAGGAGCCGAAACCGTCGAACGACGCGCACGTACCCTCTGTCATAGAACACACCAGGTGGCCAGGTGGCACGTTGTCTTTCTTACAAGTCGAACGTCAATAGCTCCCCCGCCTAACCCACCCCACCCTCATGGTGGGCATATATTACGATATTATGCCCTGCTCATGTCATCTAAAACTGAAGCAAGAACAAACCATGTCGAACCAAACAGAAACAGCGATCCGAAAATAGCAAGTTTCTATGGAGTTGCCAACAGGGCCGTTCGCACAAACAAGCCCGGCCCCTTAGGTTAAAAAATGTGTTTGAGGTATGAGTTCTTGTGCTTCCCTGGGTCAAATCCATTGGATACAAATCACAGGTTCTGAGATTTGAGTATATATATATAACTCTTTCAATTTGGAGACTTGGCTTTCTCAAGATCTCACACCTTGGCTTCTTGATGACATTTGATGAGCATTTTGGTCGTTTGTCACACGAAAGAAGGCCTCCATAAGTCTTCCAGAAACTCCATGTGTCGCGTAGAAAGCATCATGTGTCGGAGAGGTCTCAGTGAGCCAGGCTCAGCTCAAAGACCCACAAGCCGACTGCATCTCTTAATTGAGGTGAGTGCAAGGTCTGAATAAGCACTTGATCAAGGTCACGGCCTTGCAAAGTGTTTTCGGGCAACACTCTAGACCGTGTTGCCAAAGTGGCTTCAAATCAAGCTTCGTCGGCAAACAAATCATTGTAGCGAAAGCTACTCTGACAGCAGGCCTTGAGGGCAAAATAGGGGTAGTAGTAGAACGCGGCGCGAGCGCCAAGCGAAGTAAGAGACGTGATTGGGCTGAGCCACACCGGCGGAGCACAACATTAAGGAACCTATGAAAGAACTAACTATCTGCCGAGGCTGTCAAAGCGTGTGTTTTTGTCTATGCTCGCCCTGTCTTTCTGTGTTTCTTTCTTCCTTTCCTTTCCTTGCTTACTTGCTTTCTTCCTTCCTTCCTTCCTTCCTTTCTTCCTTTCTTCCTTTCCTTGCTTCCTTCCCTTCCTTTACATTTTTATGCAGCCTCTGAACTAGTTGTGCTTGTCTCCCACACTTGTGTGGCATTGAAGCACCTTTTGACCGAGTATTGCCTGCACTACCAGTGGTCGTTGCCACCAGCTCAATAAATTGTGAAACTGGATGCAGCGAATTCAAGCTACAAAAGTTACTAGACTGCATCGTTCTCATACCCCTTTTTTGCTGAAATACACTTGGAGTATGTTGCCAACAATGGTCAACGTCGTGCAACCAAGAATGATTTTAGGGCGGCCCTCTCGGCTTCTGCAAGTATTGAGGGTAAAAGAAAACCTCAGTCGTGGTGCAGCTCGTGCAGCAGTTTTCGTCGATAACCTTCAAGTCTTCCAACCCAATAAGACACCCTTTGAGTTGTGAACGGCATCGGCAACAGACAAGGTCTCTTGTGAAGCAGGGACTTCCTTGAACTCCTGCAGGACATATCTGAGAAGCATTGAGAAGCCTTTTCTGAAACAGAACACAGCTCGGTCCGTCCTTCCCACCAGAGTCGTATCTAAGACACTGCGTCACCATGCGTTCTTGAAGGGACCTGGCATTAGATCTATCTGCAAAAGTATCGCACGATCCACAGAAGCATCGAAAAATCTACGTCTGGTTCTGTCTCCAAATCAGTCGGAATGACACTGGTGAAGGGAGCAACTGTAAGACTCTTGTCCAAGAGCCCTGAGAAAGCGACTCACCACATTGCAAAGGCGTGACTGAAGCACACATGGACAATCATGGATGTGACATGAGGCATCCATCAGAACAGCATGTGACCACAAAAACAGAGTCACCTCGGAAAAGCCGTAAAGTGCTCGGAGGTCATGTCGGCCTGAACACTTTGCTTCCAGAATACTGGGCCATCAAACTCTATATTAATTAGCCCAGCTGGAGACCACAACAGCAAGATACAAACCGGGGCAAAAAGAAAAATCTGGAAACAGCTGCTGTTTTCAACACATCGACCATCTCTTCCTTGGACACCATCATCACATAACCGGGACACCATCACAAAATGACCAGGGCACCATCAAAACATGACCGAGACACCGTCACAACATGACTGGGACACATTCAAAACATGACCGGGACACCATCACAACATGACCGGGACACCATCACATGACCGGGACACCATCAAAACATGACCGGGAC